GTAAGCAGTGATTAATTGAGATGAATTTAGGGTAATAGTGTGTAATATGTAGATAGTGTAATGATTATAATAAGGCGGTCGTGGGGTCCAGTATGTGACGGTAGTATTTTGGGCATATATTAGTAGACGACAGTTATTGCAGTTTAAGTGCAGAGAGGTCAGTTTAACATATGTTTGGTCAGTACGAGGTTGAGTTATGGAGTGTTTACAGAATACTAGTGTTACAATGTTGCGGCTATCGACAGGATAGTTTGAGATTCCAGGGAAAGGAAGGATTGTTTAGACTATCAGGGGCGAGAGAAAAATACGATTAGCCTTTTGAGATAGGGAGTGCCAGTTTACCCGATCGAGAGGGGGGGTCATTTTGATACCGGGCAGGTTCTGTAGCTAGAACCTGTTAAGGTTAGGTCGTTTAGTTAGGTAGATGGTTATAGTGGTAAGTATAATATTGGCGGCCGTAGAATAGCGGAGCATTCCGTAGTTACTATTATCAGGCTTGGTTGTGGCCGGGGTCAACAATGGTTGGTCCGACACCAGGGGATGTCTTTGTTAATGATGATATTATATAATTAAGTACATCATTATTCATTAAATACCATACTAACATAATTTAATCCATTCTAGGAAAATGATGTGATCTTGGAGGCTATTCGTCTACTCGACGTTGGTGGTTGCTCTACGGTGTACCAGTGCTGCTAGCCACGCCAGTTGCTGTTGTATGTTGGTGGACTTGTGTTAGGAGTCGTGTTCTTCAGTGTGTACTATCGGTGAGAAGATAGATTACAGTGTACGGTCGGTGTGACCAGTGTGTACTATCGGTGCGAAGATAGATTACAGTATACGGTCGGTGTGACCAGTGTGGACTATCGGTGAATATAAGTCAATTGGATTGTACTTAAGATAGATTCCAGTACGAAGAACTCAACAGAAGAACTCAACAGATCTCAACAGAAGACAAGTGATAGTGTCGGTGTATTGTAGTAGAGAAGTTACATTGATTGATAGTGATTTGGATACTTTATATAATTGAAGTGATTGAGTTATTATATATTGAATTACTATTTACCTTTGTTAGTCATTGCAGTGAGAGTGCGTAGTGGAGTGTGTTATTTTGTAAAGCAATTGACTAGGAAAGATTCACGTAGTACAATATTGTGTATTATCTCATTATCAGTGTTCAAGTAGATAGTATTGTGTATTATCTAAATTTACTTATTCCAGTTTTATAATATCGTGTTTATCTTATTATCAGTCTTGACAACACTGGGCTCTGGCAGAGCGAGAGTCAGCAATGGTTGACTCAGATAGGTAAAGCTAGACTAAGAGTAGGAGCCCGGGAGAAATAGTCAGCGCTGGTTGACTTAGATAGATAAAGCTAGACTAAGAATAAGAGCCCGGGAGGAATAGTCAGCAATGGTTGACTCAGATAGGTAAAGCTAGACTCAGAATAAGAGCCCGGGAGGAATAGTCAGCAATGGTTGACTTAGATAGATAAGGCTAGACTAAGAGTAAGAGCCCGGGAGGAATAGTCAGCACTGGTTGACTCAGATAGGTAAAGCTAAAATAAGAATAAGAGCCCGGGAGGAATAGTCAGCACTGGTTGACTCAGACAGATAAGGCTAGACTAAGAGTAAGAGCCCGGGAGGAATAGTCAGCAATGGTTGACTCAGATAGGTAAAGCTAGATTAAGGGTAGGATTAACGGCAGGAAGTGTGTTGCGTAATATTTGAGGCAGTATGAATCGGAGTAATTAGGAATTTGTTGCATAGTATTTGAGGCAATATGAGTCTAAGTGACTAAGCGTTGGTTGAGCAAATATTCGATTGCCTTATCTGTCTGAGTCAACCAGTGCTGACTATTCCTCCCGGGCTCTTACTCTTAGTCTAGCCTTATCTATCTAAGTCAACCATTGCTGACTATTCCTCCCGGGCTCTTACTCTTAGTCTAGCCTTATCTATCTAAGTCAACCATTGCTGACTATTCCTCCCGGGCTCTTATTCTGAGTCTAGCTTTACCTATCTGAGTCAACCATTGCTGACTATTCCTCCCGGGCTCTTATTCTTAGTCTAGCTTTATCTATCTAAGTCAACCAGCGCTGACTATTTCTCCCGGGCTCCTACTCTTAGTCTAGCTTTACCTATCTGAGTCAACCATTGCTGACTCTCGCTCTGCCAGAGCCCAGTGTTGTCAAGACATCCCCTGGTGTCGGACCAACCATTGTTGACCCCGGCCACAACCAAGCCTGATAATAGTAACTACGGAATGCTCCGCTATTCTACGGCCGCCAATATTATACTTACCACTATAACCATCTACCTAACTAAACGACCTAACCTTAACAGGTTCTAGCTACAGAACCTGCCCGGTATCAAAATGACCCCCCCTCTCGATCGGGTAAACTGGCACTCCCTATCTCAAAAGGCTAATCGTATTTTTCTCTCGCCCCTGATAGTCTAAACAATCCTTCCTTTCCCTGGAATCTCAAACTATCCTGTCGATAGCCGCAACATTGTAACACTAGTATTCTGTAAACACTCCATAACTCAACCTCGTACTGACCAAACATATGTTAAACTGACCTCTCTGCACTTAAACTGCAATAACTGTCGTCTACTAATATATGCCCAAAATACTACCGTCACATACTGGACCCCACGACCGCCTTATTATAATCATTACACTATCTACATATTACACACTATTACCCTAAATTCATCTCAATTAATCACTGCTTACACAACTTTACAAAATATGTAAGGCTAGACTAAGAGTAAGAGCCCGGGAGGAATAGTCAGCAATGGTTGACTCAGATAGGTAAAGCTAGATTAAGGGTAGGATTAACGGCAGGAAGTGTGTTGCGTAATATTTGAGGCAGTATGAATCGGAGTAATTAGGAATTTGTTGCATAGTATTTGAGGCAATATGAGTCTAAGTGACTAAGCGTTGGTTGAGCAAATATTCGATTATTCATTGTTCAGTTAAGTACCTTGGGCACCTTTATTATACCCCTTGTTTGCATTCTCACCCTATTCGATAGAGGGTCATGGTTGATACCGGACTAGTATAAGGGACCAGGACCAGTTATGGTTGGGGCCTGGTGAGCACGGATGGAACGTGTCGTTAGAGGTTTAGAATCGACAGTGGTTGTTTCAGGGCACCTAGATTAGGCACGGTCAAGGCGAGTTGACCGTGCTATCCGTGTTTTATGTTGCAGCACTAGATCGCTGGGCGTTTATGGGCGATACGAGTCTGGTTAATTAGGATTTGAAGTAGAGGTTGTCGAATTATTCATTGTGTTGTTTCATAGTTTAATTTTGTTTACCCTTTATTATCACGCTCGTTTCCATTGTCCAAACCCTTAATTAAATGCAAATAAACTTCGAACCGGGAAGCAAGTGTCCACTGCTTACAAAATGAGGAAATTTTTTGCATAGTTATAATTTTTCGAGAATCAGTACGGATTCCGACCAGGAAGATCATGTGAGCACGCACTTCTCAATGCTCAGAGCTCTATTCTGCATTCTCTAAATAAGAACCAAATAGCACTTTTATTACTTTTAGACTATAGCAAGGCATTTGACGTCCTAGATCACGCGACATTACTCAGGAAACTTGAGCATTACGGTATTCGTGGCATTGCGTTGAAATGGTTCGAGTCATACCTCAGTGGTCGCAGTCAATTTGTTTCCCTAAACGGCTCCAATTCATCATTAGAATCTATGATATACGGTGTTCCACAAGGGAGCATATTAGGCCCCCTGCTCTTTGTCATATATATCAATGACTTACCAGGAATCAGTAACCTAGCTAAATTTATATTATACGCAGACGACGCAAACATTATTATCACCGGATCAAATGTACAAGACATTATATCCAAAGTAAACCACCTCACTGACGTGTTGATAAAATGGGTTAACTCGAACGGCCTAGCTCTTAATCTGAAGAAGACTTGCTATATGGTATTTTCAAAAAGACGGGTAGATCTATCGTCTCTACAAGTAAGTATCGACAACTCTCCTATAGAACGCAAAACGGAGGCCAGGTTTTTAGGAGTTATCGTCGACGACAAACTAAAATGGGCCAGCCACATCCGAGCCGTCAAAACAAAAATGTCACGGTTTATAGGTATTATGTTCAAAATAAAACGCAAATTACCAATCAAAGCACGCTTACAGATCTTCCAAAGTTTTGTACAATCTCACTTAAATTTCTGTTCACTAGTTTGGGGCTTTGCTGCAAAATCCCATATTGAATCACTGTTCACTAAACAAAAGCAGGGAATACGAGCAGTTATGCCGGGCTATGCGAATTACTATTGCAAGGACGGTAAGCTTCCGGATCATACTAAAACTACGTTTAAAGAGTACGAAATATTATCTGTACACGGGGTCATCATAAAAAATGCTCTGACTCTGATGCACAAGATAACTTACATGCCTGGCCTTCTGCCGTCGTCGATAAAAGACTTATTTCCTCCCGATATACCAAAGTATGGCACGTCTTATGACGACAATATCGACTGGCTAACAACGTACTCTCAACCAGATCTACGCGCTAGTGTTCTGTATAAAGGTCCTATATTAGCTATTACCGAGCACAACATTAGTCGCATAACTTGCCCATCTAGCATTTTCTCAATAAGCATATATAAGAAATCAGCGAAGCGTGTAATGATAGAACTACAAAGCTCAGGAAACGATGAAGAATGGCCACCTTTTCTGTTACATAATTTACCCGGGCTACGTAAATCGACAAGATCAGGCACACAACAAATTAACTACCGAGAATAAACTAAGGAATAAATAAAACCAGACGGTTAGCACACTAGTCACTATCAACCATATGCCACTTTTTTCACTGCCCATTCACTGTCATATTAATAGCATCATATAGATAGCGCTAGCAGGTGCTGATAAGACATGGGCTCAGTTATTCTTTTTTGTTTTAACCTCAAGTAGCTTATAAAACAGTGCGTGTGATCATCTGTCGTATCAAATCAAATTATTTGTCACTATATGTTAATAAATCATGATATACAAGTTTTAATTTTTAAAGTTTCTGTTTTTGTTTTTAATGAATAGACGTAATCAACATTTTCAATTTTCATATTCACGCATATTAAATAAAATTATATTGTTATGTATTATATTATTTTGTAAACATTGGCCGGGTACCAAAAACCGGTCCCCAAACAAACATTTCCTATAAAAATTTCGTCTTCATGATTTGTTCTGCCAATAGTTTTGCCAATTCCCAATTTTATATTAACTAAATAAAGTATGAACAAATATAAGCATGATTTTAACCGATTATGATTTCTATTGCGATTGTTTAAAATGATGTCCACTTAAAATGTGTACCGTTCAATTAAACACCAATTGCCAGTTCGTTTGAAATTGATGCTAATAATTGTTTGTGTCACTCTCAAAAATTCCATATTTGGTAAAAAAAATAGCATTATCTTATCTGTTCACAATTTTCAGTTCCGAGTAAAAAAGCGTTTATCCACTTGGTGACTTGCATAATATAAGAAATATGTATATTGCAATATAAGAAACTGTTCAAAGGTTTGAATTGAGTTTAAAAATTGGCTAAAAAGTATTACTACGAGTACGACCCCTGTACCTTCTGGATGACCTGATTAAGGGGTCGTTCACATATTACATAATCATTTTTTGGAACATTTTTACCCCCCCCCCCTCTCCGTAATCAGTTTACCACGTAGCTATTGTGTCAAAATTACACTATAGCCATAGACGTATAGCGTAATCATTCGGAAACCCCCCCTCAGCTGATTACGTAATAATGATCACTCTACGGGGAACTATTACATGACTAATTTTAACACGGCTTCTATGTGGCTTTGACGGACAAACCAAGCCCCTAACCTTGCCCAATCAACTACCAAAACGCTAATTTAACGAGAATTTTGACGAGAAATATAACGAGAAATATGGTCATGTCATATAAGGTGATCGAAACATTTTTCGCCAATAACTCGATAAGAAAGCATTTCAGCCGGAGCCCCATGTCATGTGAAGTGATTGAGCACGACTAGATGTTCCAACTATCAAAGACAACAAGCATAACAAGCATAACAAGCATAACAAGCATAACAAGTATGATGCAGGTAAAATTTTGTAGGTTTATAACCTACCAGAGTTGAACTCGTCGACGATCCTGTTCGAAACAAATATTTTACGAGTATCACCCGTTAAGTAAAATTTAACAAGATTTTCGTGCGTGCATTACGCATGTTGATTCCTCGAGCTTGGTATTCTTCGGCCTTCTTTGCTTTTAGTTAGTGATCACGCGTACATGTTACGCACAAATATTTGAATTCAGCATAAGCTTCACGATTATGTGCGCTGTTTTGCATTTAATATTCTTTCCACACGAATTGGAACATTGAATTGTCCGAGATTTTTGTTAGTTTTGTTCGTTTTCTGTCCCAATCTAAAATCTTGTAGTTGTATTGGCCTGGGTAGTGGGTAATGATCCGACTTAGGCTTTAGTGTAAATACGATTGGTACCACCAACAGTATTGACTATTGAACTATACTCATTTAAAGAATTGAGAGGTTGGGGTGCAAGTACAAAGTGGAGGGTCTGATTTGTCTGTAAAAGCTATATAGAGGTGTTAAACTTAGTCACATGATAGTCCACTGTCATGTAAAGTGATTCATGATCATTATCCGTCAGATCCCAATCTCTCCCTCTCTCTGAGGGCCTGTCGTGATATCATAGCTGTCTATAGTTTTTACTATTAATATAGTAAAAACGAGCCAGTGATAAAATATGCTGACATGCGAATCAAGGTACTACTAATAATTAAATTGTGCCCTAAATCGGGAAAAATAGACAACTGTGACGCTAATTAATTGGTATTTGGTCTATCTAATGGCTCTGCATAGTTTTGCAATAACTTACAACTTCGATCGGAATCGAGTTATGTCGAAATGATACGTTATCAATTTATATATTTCAGTGGGCGAAATTTTTACAATTCTGAGAATAAACTATGGGTGACAAACCAAGGAGAACCTTTCCGTCGTTAACTTACGGCACAATAAAGTTTTCATAGTTGTCATATTCTGGACAAAAAGTTCGAATTTTTGAAAATAATTCAACGGACTTTAACTTGGACGGACTTTATTTGAACGGACATTAAGATGAACGTTAAGGCCTCCAGCGTTCAATTAATGTCCGTCCAAATAAGGTCCGATAAGGTATAGTTATAAGCTAAGCGCCTGAGCGGCTTATCGGGTGGCACGTACCTGTCTCTCTGCCGAATCTCAGTAATTGTAAACAACGACGCCACTAGTTTTCATCTAATAATCGGGCTTATGAAGGAAAGATCTCAAGTTCAGAAGACGAAAGAAATTTATCCAAATATTTGCTTAAGATTAACGAATACGGATTTCGACCAATATCGAAAAGGACTACCAAGGATTGTATCGGGACTTCTATATCGGTATTTCAAGTCTTCATAGCGGTCTGTTGTACTTGTAGCCTACGCTCCGACTGATGGTGCTCAGTGCTGATGACTGTGAGAAATATCTTTTTTACAACGTTTTATCAGACACGTTTTGTGAACTGCCCCGACATGATCTGAAACTGCTACTGGGTTATAATTTTATGTGATCAATACTTTTTATAGTGCACGATTAATACTTTAAGAGTAGCTGAAAGTTGACTATTCGAAAAAATATATAGGATAGGAATGTGTCGTCGATTATCATTATGCTCACTCCTTTCCTGCACTTTACCTAAAAGTAAAATAAATATTATTTCAGAATATTCTAGAAGGTTATGGATTATTTTATGAGTACGGAGTAGCCAACCCTGCAGCCTAACACTCTATTGCAAGTTAATTATTTTTTCCTTTTCACCCTTTTGAAAAAAGGCAATAGTGAAAGGTTACGAATGGAGGTTTTTGCAGAAAAACGTGGATTTTGGAGAATGAGATAGGTGGGTTTAAATATGTCGTGTGTCCTTCCTTCATTCCTTCCGTTCGTTACCATGCAACGAAAAAATTGGGCGCGCGCGAGGATTGCTTGCGGAGATGTGATGTATAGATAGCCTGTGATCTATGAATGCGCGGCGCGACTGTGTTTTAATGTATATGATGCATGTAATGTATAATATTACTATTAGGTAATACGCCCAATTTGTACGTGGCACGGGTAGTGTATTGATGTGTACACGAGTATAGTTTACATTTGCTGATAATTTCTTGAATTACAGATACAAGTTAAGTTCTACGGCAATTGAACTGAATTTCAAGTGTTTCCCGTATTTGATGCATAATTTATCAATATTATTATCATGAAGATTGAAGTGAGCTGATTGGAGCTTATACTTAAATTTTTAGTAAATGTGAAATGGAAATCTAGCGTCCGCCAAAACGAAACAACGGGCGCAATTCTTGTTATTATTTTAACCCTTGCACAAACTATTCATTGAGGATAAGACCGAGTGTGTCTGTCTATTTCTTGCTTCTCCAATCGAATTTGATGATAGCGGTGCTTTGTTGAAATAATGATCCCTGGAGGTCCAGCAAAAGTCTTGGGTCGCAGACTGACATTAGGCATAGAATCGTCTTCGCAAATTCCACCTTTATAGATCATTTGGCTTTAAAAAATATGATCTTACGCGACGTAGTCAGGATTTTCTGCAACTCAGCCTCCTACATTTACATTGTCTTAATTACGTTGTCTTATTTACGTTGTTTTATTCACGTTGACCACGTTTTATTTACGTTGACCACTCGTTCACAGTTTGTTATAAAACTTTCAAGCAGTGAACTATGTTGCGTTCTATATTCTATCATACTTTTTAAGTACACATACACTCACATTCCACATTCACAAGCATGTGAGCTCACCTGGTCCAGTGAGCGGAAAACAGAGAACAAGCTCTGATGACGTCATAGTAACGTGACCTAAGGCTCATAATCACGTGACATCAGACCCAATCAATTGGGTTCTGGGTTCTGGCCTGGTCAGCTCCCTGTTACCTGATCTTGAGGTGACGTATGACACATCGTTAACCCAATCAATGTCTGAAAGGCAGATCACCGTGAGACCCCAGGTCTATGGCGGCCGAGATGGCTCATCTAAATTTTCAGTGAAAATTTAGATGAGCCATCTCGGCCGCCATACACGTCATATAACTATTGTATCGTATGCCAACTTTATTGACTGTTTTATAATATTATGTCTCATCTTAGTTATTATTTCTATCTAACATAAACTAATAAATTTTGACGCTTACTCGACACATCTTCACTCTACAGCACCATCGACTCTTAGATGGCAAGTACGTACGGTACAGGGCTTTAAGTACGTACGGTACAGCTACTTTTAAAGGTACGTACCGTACAAGCACTGTAAGGTAAAATTTTTTTAAAAAATTTTTAGAATCAACTTCAGTGAATTACTTGCAATTTTTGATTAGTATTATCATCATAATTTTTGAGATAGAAGTTGAACATAAACACAGTGGTTAAAACAATAAAAGATTTAAGAGGAAAATTTGTGTACCGGATCACTCTTAACCGGTACTACACCGTCTAGTTTTTGTTTCCATTGCTATCAACTGGATTATTCTGCGCACGTACCGTCTTGTTTTTGTTTCCATTGCTATCAACTGGATTTGTACCTTTCAGCCTACTTTATTAAGTACGTACCGTACAGCTAATTTAAAGGTACGTACCGTACGAACTTCCCATCTTAGCATCGACTATCGAGCCTTTGATTTGATATAAAATACTTTAAAAGCATGCCGCAATCTTATTTGCTTATTGAATGTAAATGTAAAGTAACATCTGTTTCAATTATGTATTCGCTGTTTACCAAACTATTAATAGGCGGTGCACGATAAAAATAAACTTGCTCGGATTTTCAAAATTTTTGTACCATCGTTTTCTAGAGACTGTGAGAATTTTCACAGTACCAAATTTATCATACCTTTTGGAATGATCAGTGAGTTTCGCCTAGGTGCCATA